CCTTAGCACCGATCAGCAATGTCTCCCAGCAGGAGGGAGACAGCTGATTGCCCGGCAGGGAGGGGAAGAACTGAGCTCCAGCAAGCTGGGCTCCTGCAGGCATGCTTTGCCAGTTTCCCACAGCATGCTGCATTGCATACCCTGCCCCCTTCCTGCCGCACTGATCCGCTGTCTCCCAGCCGGAGGGAGACAGACTGCTAATCGGCGAGGGGGAAAGAACTGAGCTCCAGCAAGCTGGGCTCCTGGGGAAGAGGAGAGGCTGGGGCCTTGAGGAAGAAGGGGGTCGGTCGGGGCATGCCACCCACCAGTCAACTGTTTATGGGGCCCTTGGGGGCCCACAAGCCATCAGCTGTTCGGCCGGGGCGGGGGCAGTAGGGTAGCTGGCTAGGGGAGTGTGAGTGCTTGCTGTTTAGTTGGTTTTTGGCCACCAGCCAATCAGCGAGGGGAACTGCTCCTGGAGCAGGGGTTGAGCTGAGAGACCCCGCCTCCTTCTCCTACCTGCTTCTTGTGGCACTGTGGCAGGCGTGCTTCCTCTGGCTCTGCAGCAGCAGCTCCTAACCTCTCACCCAACTAAAGGCAGCCAGTAGTAGCAGCTGGTAAGTGTATTTCAAAGGGGGTCTTTCTTGTGGTGAGGGTGGCTTGGGGGGGGGGGACTGGAACCCCCCCAGCCGGCTGTGAGAGCCAGCACCTGGCTGCTGGTGGGATGGCTGTCTGCATGGTGGGGGGCAGGGGGTTCAGCCAGAGGCATCTCCAAAAACATCCCCTGCACCCCTGCAGCACAGAGAGACTGAGAGTACCAGCCCCTGGGGGCAGCTAGACCAGGACAGGCATGGGGGGGGGGGAGGCGCGTCTCCTGTGGGATGTGGTGTCCCTGCTTGCCCTCCCTGCCCAGGCAGAGATGCCTGCTTCTCAGAGACAGTGGCCATGTAGTGCGCTTGGTTCCCCCCTCCCTGGCATCTGGGTGACTGCCTCTTAGGGGGTGAGGGGTGGAAGGGAAGAGGCAGTGGGGAAGGGATAGGGGTGGGGCGGGTAGGAGAGGAAAACTGAGGGTATGTCTTCACTTACATCCGGGTCCGGATGTAAGCAATCGGTTTTCTGAGTTCGATTTATCGCGTCTGGTTAAGACGGAAGTGCCCCGGATCGATCCCGGAAGTGCTCGCCGTCGACGCTGGTACTCCAGCTCGGCGAGCGGAGTACGCAGCATCGACGAGGGAGCCTTCCTGCCGTGTCTGGACTGCGGTAACTTCGGACTAAGGTACTTCGAATTCAGCTACGTTAATAACGTACCTTAGTCCGAAGTGGGGGGGTTAGTGTAGACCAGGCCTTAGACTATGAGGGGAAATCTTCATAGCTACAATCTCTGCCTTGGGGGTGTGGATGGAATTGTCTCCCAATGGAAGGCTGGAACTATCTGCTGTGCTCTCTGTGAGCTGAGGGGTGAAAACATTATATGTGTTTAGTCCATGTGCTCTGGCAAACACAAGTCCAGGCACCATGTTGGGGGGCAGGGAGAGGTAGCCTGATTTTCCCTCTCCTATCAGGGGAAACCTGAATTGTCTCCTAAGGGAAGGGCTTGTGATCATGTTGGGAGGAGGAGGGGGGGCATTGCTGAGTCCCAGGGTTGAGTAATTCTCTGGTGATGATGGTCATTAAATTACTAATTGTCATTCACTTGCTGCACACAATGGCTGGTGATGGTTTAACATCCACCCAGCCATTTGGTCAAGTGCCTTGTTTCTTGGGAGTTGCCTTCTGTAACTTCTCTAATTTCATCCCACTCTTGAGTACAAATTCTGGTTCTAAAGACCTGGTGCCTGGATCCCATATTGTCTTGCACTGGGATTGGGAATTAGTGCCCTGACATGCAACTCCTCCTATTGTGCCAGTGTAGATCCTTCTGTTAGTACAGCTATTTGCAGGTGCCCTTGTGTTTAGCTGAACCTTTGGACTCAGTTTAGTGGGGATGGACTCAGAGACTGAGAGCTAAACTGACACTACTATCCTGCTGTGGGGATCCCAGTGTGCTTGTACTGTGAATTTTTGGCATGCACATGTGGCTATATTTATCTCATTGCGCTGGTGCTACTTCCTTGGTGTGATGATGACATTATGCTAAGATGAATTGTGAAAATAGTGTCCTGGTGTGATGGTCACTCTGTGCTGTTCATGTGAAACTTGCATTTTTGTATGCTGTGTTGGTGTAGCCCTGTTGTTCCCAGGAAATTAGAGCCACAAGGTTGGTGAGGTAATAGCTTTTATTGGAGCAACTTTTGTTGGTGAGAGAGAGACAAGTTTTGGAGCTTTCATGGAGTTCTTTCTTCTTCCTGAAGAAGAGTTCTGTGAAAGCTCAAAAGCTTGTCTCTCTCACCAACAGAAGCTGGTCCAATAAAAAATATTTTACCTCACCCACCTTGATATATATTACCCCCCATATTACCTCACCCAGCTTTCCAGGAGTGAGTTTTCATGATGACATGGGAAGTGCTCTGACTGGTCCTGACTTCTTTATATCAGCCCCTGTAGCTTGCACTGCAGCCCAGTACCTGGGGGCTGGGTGCCTGCAGAGCTGAGACTCTGTGAGATCAGGAACTCACAGACCCAGCTGGGAGGGGAAGGGCACCTCCTCCTCGGCCTCTCTCTCTTGCTGCCTCCTTTTCCTGAGTGGCCTCATGATGCACAGAGCCAGCGTGGCTAGGTGCTGCATTGGAGAGTCTCCCAATGCAGTCCCCCACCCCCTCTCTCCCATGCGAACCCCCAACAGACCCTGCCCACCTCTGTCCGATTGTCTCTCTCATGCGGGGGACTGTGCCCCCCCCCCTTGCTCCTGTGTGCTGCCTGCTTCCAGGGACCACAGATTGCAGATCAGCCCCCTCAGGAGAGATGAGAGGTGCTGTTCCACCAGGTGCGTGTGAGCAATGGCCCCCTCACAGCAAGATGCTGCGCCGCCCCTGCCTCCGTCTGGGTGGTGACCCTGGCCTGAGGAGTGCGAGGCAGCGTGAGCTGAGCATGGGGGCTGGGGGCCAGGGCAGCAAGCCTGATCACTGACACTCCAGGTGTGCCCAAGTGCAGAGCTAGTGCTCCGGGCTTCTCCTTCATTCAATGACACATCAGTAGGACTTGCTTTTTTCATGCAGAATTTGCCTTTCAGAAAGCAAACTAGTCCCCTCACTCCCCCAGCCCTTTTCATTGGGATCCTGGGGGCTCAGGTCCTGGGGCAGCATTGGGATTGCATTAAGGGGTGGGTACTGAGGCTGTTGTAGTTGCTTCATAGATTATCATATTGTTTTGATCTTATCTTTGAAATATAAAATAAGTAAATAACACGTGTTTTTATTATGTTGATTTTATATACAATACTGTAAACCTTTTTTTATATTTTAAATGCAAAATAACACACGTACTTATAAAACAATATAATTCTTGTGTTTTTATTTTAAGTACAAAATAAATATGTATAACGAATTTAAAAGTATGTAACTAGTAATTTGATATGGTGGCGGGTGGCACCTTTTTTTATGTGTTCGCTCCCCCTGATGTTAGAACCTGGCTACGCCACTGGCCCCAGTGCCAGCTGGCCGGGGGGCAGGTGGGCGAGGCCCCAGCAGCCCTGGTGCCCCGCAGCCTCAGTGCCCCCAGCCCGGGAGCTCTGGGTGTCTGGGCAGCACGGTCGCACCACCCCCAGCCCTAGGGCTCTGGGCAGGCAGCACGGCCCAGCACCAGCTGTCCCGGCGGCCCCGAGTCCCTGCAGGAGGCACGCTGGCCTGGGGGCGTGGCCACAGTAGGCTGTTTGGGGAGGCACAGCCTCCCCTTGCCTACAATACCAGCTGCCCATGGGTCCCCCCAACATGCTATAAAAACTCCACTTCCCTCCTGTGTCACAATAACGGGTTTTCTGCATATAAAAGCCAGCATTAGGGGGTAGCAAGCAGGGCAATTGCATGGAGCCTCATGCCACAGGAGCCCCCGCAAAGCTACATTGCTCAGGCTTCAGCTTCAGCCTTGGGTAGCGGGGCACAGAGCCCGAGCTTCAACCCCATGCGGCAGGGCTTTGGCTTTCTGCCCTGGGCCCCAGTGAGTCTAATGCTGGCCCTGCTTGGCAGCCCCCCTGAAACCTGCTCACGGCCTCCCAGCGGGTCTCAGATCCTTGGTTGAGAACCATTGCTTTACAATACACCACATAGGTCTGTGCAGCAAGATTTGGATCTATCTCTGTGCCTTTTTATGTGTGTGTTACCATCCCTTATGTTACATGTGGAGTCCCCGATCTGTGCACTCGCTATAACTTTGTGAGGTGCCACCATATCAGAAATGCACACTGCTTACAAATGGATGTTGGAAGAAGAAACCCCAGCCAGGGTATAGCCTGAGCATATATGCACTGCAGCTCTGACAAACGCTTGAGGGTTCTGGCTTTAAAAAAAAAAAACTAACACTTTCACAACACTTGTATAGCTTTGCCAACAAAGTCTCATTGAAATGAATCATTGACTGTTGTCAATGGTGGCACAAGATCTAGAAATAGCAGTTTTTCAGGATAGTTGGCCAGTACATTTGATGTTTGAGACTGGATAGGAAGAAGCTGGAGGGGAAGGAAGAGAGGGGGCAGCATGTGCCTGTGTGTGTGGTGGGAGGGGAGAGGAGGACAGTGCATGTGTGGTGGAGGGGAGAGGAGTGTGTAGGAGGGGAGTGGGAAGGGGCTCTGTGTGTGTGGCAGAAGAAGAGGGCAATGTGGGGAAAGGAGTGGACAGAGGCAGTGTGTATATGGAAGGGGAGAGGACGGGAAGGCAAGGCAGGGGGAAGCAGTGGGAGGGGCTGTTGTGTGTCTGTTGGGAGGGGAGTCTGATGGGGTGTGGAGGGCAGGGCAGTGTGAGGGAAGCAGAGGGAAGG